GGTGGCTAGAGTTTCCACTGCAGCCCCTCCCCCAGACTGCTTTCCTCCTATCCCTGGAGAGAGTCCTGAAAGGGGCCTTTCTGGACAGCATTCCCCCACCCTTCACTGAGGGGTGAGGGGAGAAGCCAGACAGAGGATGGTTTCAGAGAGCCACGGAGGGTCCCAAGGCCAGTGGCCCAGCCCCCTCCGGAGAAGGGGACCCTTGGAGGCAGCATTTCCCGACTTTCTGCTATCTCCGTGGCAGTGTTACACCTCTTCACTTTGCAGCCTTTGATTCAGCAAAATCAAGGATGCAAACTTCTTAGGAGTACTTAGTTTCCATGGCAACTGAAGCTGACCTCAACATTATTGTTCTCAAGAGGGGACTGACTTTGCTATATGTTCATTCACTGAATTAATGGACTCCCGGTTCTTTTATCAGCAACCCCAGAACAATGGAAAGACAGACATGTCCTCAAAGGGCTTTCAACCACTGTCCAGCCTTTTGTCCCCGGCTTACTGCAACGAGGCAAGTCTATTCAGCCCGAGATTATCAAAATCAACTCGGGGCTGTCTCCAGGGCAGCTAAACACACTTTGATTTCATAAAGACATAACTGATCCCACATGTAAATTAATAATTTCAATCACAGTGTTAGTTGTGTTAGCGGTGTTTTTGTTGTTGTTGTTGGTGGGTTTTTTTTGGGGGGAGGTTGGGGGGAGAGGGGTGGTGATAAGAGAGTCTGTTAGGAAACTGCCTATAGTTATGCACCTTGATGGATTCTGAGTGTGGCCAGCTGTCTGGTAAGAGCAGGAGAGGAAGAGGTTCCGAAGCTCGCCTCAGTGACATAGCCCTTAGCCAAGCAATGGGTGGTGGTGAAGAGCCTTCCGGTTCCAATAAATAGCAGCCAGACCCTGACCTGCAGGTCAGTGCCTCATGGCACCAGCTTATGAGACTCCCTCTTGCTTCACCCTCCAGCCACACAGGAACAACCTAAGCCAATGTCTGGCCGCACAGCTCTTGTGAAGAAACAGTCTGCAGAGGCAAACAGCTCCTTCAGTTGTGGTCGGGTGACATCCAAATAATGGCTGCCCTGCACGAAAGCCACTTGGTAGTTGCCTGGTTGCCTTGGCTCCCACCTCCTCGGCAGGCCGAGTTCACAATTCTGGCCCTAGTCATCCTTCATGATACCTGAGGCCTCTGGGCTTCTGGTCACCAGAGTCAGCTCACCCAGGACGATACGATGGGAAAAAAGTCCCCCGAGCCCATTGGGAGAGACTATGCTTCTAACACCCAAATAATCATTTCACAGATTTTCATAATCATCAATCAATCATCCTGTTTGAACCACTCGAGAGCTATCAGGTGGCTTTTATGACCTGTAGCATTTTGTACGAAGTAATAACTGGGAGAGATTTATGGACCCATCGCTGACCCCTCTCTATTTATTTTTTACCTCTCTCCATGCCTCCTGCCATGGCCCAGGGGTGCAGGCTGGGCCCTTCCAGACAGAAACCTTTTCCAGGCCCTGAGTCCCAGTTATAATGGTACAAATCCCCAATTTCTTTATTTGGGGGCGGAGAGGGAGCAGAGAAAGGGAGGAAAGGCGGAAATAAAAACACAAGAGGAAAAGGTCACTTCCTTTCATTCCTGTTTCCTCCCAGTTGCCCTGTATTAACACCTCCTTCCTTTGCAAGACGCTGAAAGAAAACAAGATAAAGTGGAACAAAGGGGAAGGCTGTGGGGCCTGTGTTTCCCTTTTCATATCACTGAAGAGATTGAATCAAAATTCCTTCGCCTGATACCATCTCCCCGGGTGGACTACACTCTTGTTAACGGATAAATTCAGCCCTCCAGAAAGTCAAAGAATAAATTTAAGCCTTTGCCAAATGTCTATCCTATTGGATTTTGATAAGGCGGCCATTGAGCCTCAATAATGTCTTCCATCCATTTTCTGCGAGCCCTTAACACGGCTCTTTATTCGTCCCCAAAGCCTCTTCTCCCGGCCTTTTTATTACGGGCTCCGACGTGCTCTCCAGGGAGCCGCGCAGCGGAGTGATGGATGGACAGCTTGCTAGATTATCTCCCGCAGATGTTTGCTCTCCAGGAGCCTGGGGCTTCCCTCTAAGTAAACAGACTAAATAGAGTCGCCAGCAGAAGGGCAGCCCCAGAGGTCCTGGGTTCCACTGTGGGAAGAAGCTTGACCGGGTCTGACCATAGCGAGAGTGACTTCTGGGGAAGCTTAAGTGATGTGCCCCAAGAGCATGAAGGACAGGGGCAGAGATGACAGCAGGGATTTAGGTGCTTGAGGTTTGGAACGCAGAAGCCCGATCATGTTAGAGACAATGGAACCCACTGGGTTTAGCAAGGGACAAAGGGGAGCAGGGTGGGGGTTAGACTGAGCCCGTGGTGCCTTTCCCTCAGGTGTGAGTCTTGACACCACTGTCCCATGTGTAGCCATGCTTGCCTGGCTCCTTCTGTAAATTCTGGGTACATCCAGAAGAACACAATACCTCTGTGGAAACTTGTTCTCCAATACTTAATACTTACAGCAGCAACCTCCCTGCCTTTCTCCTTCCTGCAATAGTGTCAAGGGATGAAAGAACTAAACCAAGTCTGTGACATTTCACAGAAGAAGCAGGTGGTGGGCAGGTAATGCATGAAGCTCAGAGATGGCAACTGAACAACCAAAGGCCACACAGCCTCCACATACCCCTTTGCCCCATAATTCCCCATCATATTTTTTAATACAAGTGCACATGTCTTCAGGTAACCCAAATGCACACAGGTACAGGTAGCATTGCTTTGGCAAAAAAAAAAAAAAAAAGGCACAAGATCGTCAAGTATATATAACAAAGCTCTAAGCTCTAAGTGGCATATCTGTTAGTGAGGCAGAAACTTCCACCTAGGCACAAGTTCAAAGCCATATGTGTCCCCCTATTACCCCTAGGCCCTGGCTTGTGACCCCCTTTGCTGCTGAGTTATAATTCCCATCTCCAGTTCAGTCCCCTTCGTCTCCCACTACTCAAGTCCATACCTAAGACTAGATCTTAATTCTTGCTCTGTGATCCCAGAGAAACAGGGAGGTCTGAGCTCAGCCAAAGCTGGAAACCTTCTGTTCAGTAGCCCCTGGGACAGGCTGCAACAGTCCCCCAGCCTTGCGAGAGGCATCCTAGAGCTTGGACACACCCACCAACAGTTTCCAACTTCCTCCAATAGAGCAAAAGAAGTAGGCTAAGATGAGCACTAAGAACCCTGCTGGTACAGACAGCCACCCATATCCCCTTCAAGCTTCCAAGATGCTCCACCCTATATGGAGGGTTGCTCTGTGGGGTCCCCTGGTTCTCTGAGACCTTAAGCCTGGCTACAGCATCAGGGGCATCACAGGGAACTGCAGTTGAGATAGCTCTGTCCCCTAAGCACTTTAAGTGGGTTTCTGGTTCCATAAGCAGCTCTCAAGATGACCTGGGGCCATGTTAGACAAGATATCACAGAACCATATTTTGTAGAGAAACAAAACAAAACAAAACCACAAACAGCATCCCCACCTCCTACCCCAGAGCAATAAGAGACCAGCCAGGCTCGTTCCTGTCATCCGTTACTTTGTTTCCATTTAAAAGTATCCAGCACTTTCCTTTTATGGGCCTTTACATTTGAACCTGACCTCTTGATCTCTCCTGCCTTAGCCATTATACCCTGGCTGGGTATACCAAAGATACACCAACAACAAGGTAGTCTCTGTGAGTACTGCTGTCCAGCTCTGTCTGTGGCCTAGAGTGCACTGTGTTTGCTTCACTTTTTTTTTTTTTAGAGAGAGAGGGGGGGAGTGAATCTGATCCATGGTGCACTTAGAAGGTAGAGGGAGGGGTGGCAGAAGGAAGGGTCACTGTCACACCTTCACCTCCAAAATGCTGGCTACAGTTTGCCTGGGAGAAGGACAGGTCCCATCCCTTGCAGAGAGCTCTGCTATGTGCCCAGCTTAGAGCACAGCAGGTCTGACCTGTCTGTTCATTTGGGTGGCAGGACCCCTCAAGTGTACACTTGGTGTTGCAAGACTCGGGGTGAACAACCCTGGGTGGGCCATGAATGGCTAACACTGGCTCCCCAGCAGCTTGAGCTGAGCCCCCCACCACTTCCAGGCAGGGATACGGTGTAAATGGATCTCTGTGCCCACTTTTGTTCCTGGGCAAAGATGCCTGGAGAGAAGATGTCACTTTAATTTCATGAGAAGACCCTAAGCATAGGCTAAGACGCTTGTATGAACATATGCACATGTGTTTTCCTGTGCATTGTATGCATTGTGAGCAGTGTCCTGTGACGGAGCTCACGGAAGGCTTTGGAACTGACTGGAAACCATCTCCTTACCACTATGTAGATTGCAGTGTGAACACTCAGGTGTGATCACACCTGTGTGTGTGTGTGTGTGTGTCTCCCTGGGCCATGTGTATTTTCCCCTCTGCATCTCTCTCTCTCTCTCTGTCTCTCTCTCTCTCTCGGTCTTTCAGAACTGTGTTTGTCCACCAGCTATGATCCATCATCAGCCAGAAAGGCGGCAGACAATGCCCGGTTGAAGCTTTTTCTTTTGCCTAATGCTTTGCTTACTTAAAGCGATGCTCGAGCCCTCTTTGGGAGTTAAGAGCGCAGCGAAAGGATCTGTTGAATCTGTGGCCCGTTGCGCCCGCCCCATATCCTTTTCATGTGAGTATTCGGTGAAGATAGTTAAATAAACACAACCTGCCTTTATTTAGTTTCCATGTGTCTGCATGGCCTGCAGCATTCCCACGGGCCCAGGGTTGTCCTCTGTTCTCAAGAGCTGGGGTGGTTTAGTGAGGTGACCCCCGTCCCGGCCCCGCCGCTTACACAGTGAAAACAATTGTCTCTCTAATGGCATTCATATACTGTGTGCAGATAATGCTCTGATCATGGACGGCTTCTTTGCATTGTAGCTCAGAAACAACCAAGACCGCATAGCTGCCCCACCAGGGCTATGTGAAAGAGAGCTGGGGTAACAGTTTGCCTACCTTTTTGATGCAGCTCTCCTGGGATGACACCTCTGTGTCCGTCAGCATCTGCTGCAAAGCAAATTGGAAAGGGCTGTTAGTGGCTGACAGGTGTTGCCTTCAAGCTGCAGAGTGCTTGTGAACCATGGGCAGACCAACACCTCACCCAGCATGAAGACAAGATCTCGTGGCTTCCCCAAGAAATGAAGGAAAACTCTGTTAGGAGCTCCTCTCTCTCTCTCTCTCTCTCTCTCTCTCTCTCTCTCTCTCTCTCTCTCTCTCTGTGTGTGTGTGTGTGTGTGTGTGGAAGAGAGAGAGAGAGAATATCCTGACCAAAAGCGACACTTAAGAGAAAAGGGTTAGCCTGGTCTACACTTCCAGGTTATAATCTACTGTTTTGGAGAAGTCAAGGCCAGACTTCACACTGGTAGTCACATCACACTCGCAGTCAAGAGCAAAGTGAATATACAAGCCCTTGACCATTTGCTAAGTGCCCTTATTCTAACAGAGACCCCCATTTGCTGGGGGCTAAAAACACCCCCGACTGAGTCTCCTCCCTGCAAATACTGCAGCCGGTTCTTTAGAGGTCCACTTTCAGAGATTTCGTCGTTTTGCTGAGACACATGGCCTACGTGAGGGCTGACACATCTTTAGACGGATCATCTATGGTTGCAACCAGCAGGGAGCTCTGACCCTGAAAGGGACAGGCAGACTTCAAGCTCTACCAGAAAATCCACAGAGCATACATTAAAAATGGCTCCATTCCAGTCTGCCTAGCCCTAAAGGATGAGCAGACTGCAGGCCCCGCCCTGTCCTCCTGTGGATTCCAGTTTGGCTTGCGAGCTCATGAGAGTAGCGAGTGCGGGATCCAGCTCTGTCCTAGGACACAACACGTATGCTGGAGCTTCTTAAGTCTGAGACGGCAGCTCGTCACCTGCTTCTATTAACATGGCATGGCCTGGGAAGGAAGGCAGCTCTTGGTGGTGTACGGGGGTACTTCTTCAGCTGTGGCTCTGGACACCTTGACAGTGCCTGGTGCACCCCTCGACCTCGCAGACACTTCTGGCGGCAGAAGAGGGAGAGCACCACCCTCGGATCCTTCTGCCCCAGAGCCCCCCACACAGCTCTCCTTGGTTCTGATCTGCACAGCTGTGGCATTTTACCCCCACATCTCCTCTCAGAAAACCAACCACCAGCCCTGCCTAGCGGGTTAGTACGTCAGTGACCAGACACAGCATGCTAAAGCTGAACAAACAGACCAGTGAGTGGTAGAAATTGGATTTTCCCTTCTGGACTGGAAGTTCAGCCCATAGACTCATGTCTGTAAGCTACAATGTCATTTCCAAAAGAACAGGGACCATGACAGAAAAATCACACTTGAGAAATAAAACGAGGAGTGGCGTCAAGCCCAAGGGCTTTCCTTCCCTCCCCTTCACGCTACCCTGAGGTGCCCACGTGTGCCCGTGCAGACCAGCAAGGGAATGTGGTACACCGAGGAGGCTCTGCCTGGCTCAGCTGTAATAACAAGAGGCCCTTATTCTAAACGTTGGGAATTCTAACCAATTGGGAATTTTATGTTTCTCTTAATAAATTCTGAAAGTGTGGTTTGGAAAGCGACTCTAATCGAAAAGCGAGAGTGAATGCCATGCACGGCTCATGCCAGCCTCCACCGGCGACGCTGTTTGCCTGGCTTGGCTCGATTCTGTCACGTGACAAGCCAAACATAGCTGAGCTGTGGACAGCTGTGCTTCTGATCCCCCACCCCACAGCTTTCTTCCCACTCAAAGCAGGGCCAGGGAGGGAGAATGATCACCAAGCCCTAGAAAGGCCTTCTTTCCCAGTGAACTGCACTCATGCGTTGGAGGCACAGGTCACCCAAGGAGGTCTCTTCCTGACACAGGGACTGTCTTTTCAGATCTGTGCCCTGGATGCTCTTCCCAGTGTGGATAGAGACCTCTGGGTGGTGGTTCTGTGCCACAGGCTACCCATGGCAGGATGGCAAGAGGTCAGTCTTGTGGGTAATTAGCTCTCTTGGCTTTTAATGGTCCGACTTCTGTCAGGAGACAACTGGTGTTTTCAGTTTTCCCAGCAAAGTAATGCTTGCACTACACGGAGAAGGCTAGACACAGACAGGGAGCGAGGAGCCATCAGGGAGAAGGTCCATGTAGAAACCCACTGTGTCTTACAGGCTCAACAAAGAGCAGACACTACCCCGAACCTAGTGCACGTCTCCAAACTCCATTAGTTTAGTGAGTGGGGATTCCCATGCCAAAACCCAGCACTGAGGAATCCTGAGCTGTTTGACCCAAGCTGGGTGCTCTACCTGCTCACCTCATCGCTATCAGGATCCTCTCCTAGAGTCCCAGGCTTCAGGGACACACACACACACACACACACACACACACACACACACACACACACACGGTTGCAAAGTCCCCGAGTGTGTGCTATGTGTGCTGAACCTGTCAACAGACAGGTCACAGGAGACCATGTGATGTTTTAGGACCAGTCTAAGGAGCTTGCTTGGTGGCATTCCACAGTCACCTTGTACTAACACACTAACGTCAACACAGTGCTAGACACTGGAGAGAGGGCTAGGGCACAGGGCGGGGTATAAGGTGTCTCTGGCCACTCTCCTGCTGCAAGAGAGAGAGGCTGTCCTGGATCTACTGGAAAAGGCACCCACCCTAGCCCTGGGGAGCAAGGAGCTGGTTCCTGTCATAGCTAAGCCTCCTGATACTGCAAATCCTGTCACTAGTAAATGTGGGGCCAAGACCAGAACTGTGCCTTTGCATGGCTGCCTGCTCTGTCCTCTGTGTGCTCAGTCAAGCTTCAGGTGCCTGAAAGGGCACCAGCAGCCAACAGAGGTCCTTGGGAAGGGCTTATCACTGCTCAAAATGCACACACTCACCATTCTGGAGCATGTGTCTTATGTGGCTGCCTCTGAGGGAAACTTTCCCTTCCTTCCTTCCTTCCTTCCTTCCTTCCTTCCTTCCTTCCTTCCTTTATGTTTTAAAGAGATTTCTTCTTCCTAGAAGGAAAAGGGCTTGCAACTTCCAGCCAATTCAAGGCAAACCAAGCCTTCTCTTGACCCAGTCTGTCATCGTTCAACTCAGTGGAAGGGAATCTGTGTTCCACAGACCTACGGGTGAGTGTGGTCCCAAGGAGGCCCTCATCAGAAGCTAAGGAGCCAGGTGTGTGTTGTAAGAACCCAGTTAACCCATCTGCTAGGTCATTATGGGCTCTTGCATCCCCAACCTACCATGCCTACCCTGGAGTTTGCTATCGGATGGGGACACACAGAGAGACACCGACAGCCTCATCTACAACTCTCCAAGAGCCACCAAATGAGAGGGAACAACCAGATCCCTGTGCTTTATTGGTCACAGGGCCTGGCCAGCTCTGGGGACAGGAGCTGGGGCTCTGCCCTTGGCCCCTCTTCACACATACTTTGAGCAGAAGCTCACTGGGACACTGGGCATGTGAGCTTGCACTGAGACAAACTGGGAGCTGCCAAAGACCAGGAAAGCGCCTCGTGACAAGCTTCCTTAGTCACTAGCGCTGCAGAGGGGGAGAATCATGCCCTTAGAGGAAACTGGCATCTCATGAGTTTCCAGAGCCCTCCTGTGAGGGGAAGGCTTGAGTTGGGTTCCGATTTAATAGCAGCCTTGCCAGGTAGAAATATCTTTAATGAGGCCCTCCTCACCCGCTGCTGACCTTGGGTGGAGAAACCACCGGACACACTCCGGAGCCTCTCAGCCTTGGCTTCCTTGCTGGCTGGGCTGCCGTTTACTGAAAACCCTCTTTATGTTCTAGCTCAGTCTTAGCACACGCACCGCTGGCTTGTCGACTGCTGGCAGTGGCTGCCTCAGGCTCTCTACTTCTCCCCCGCGCCCCGGCAGAAGTATTAGGTGTGTTTTGATTGAACATTTTAGCCAAAAAAGTGAGGTTTGACCTCCGGCATTTAGCTTCTCTCTCGAGTACCAGTGCCAGGATTTAGCTAAGTGGGGTTGCTCATAACATCTTTTTTTTGATTCTTAAAATAAATACCCTCTGTTCTCCAAGAGGTCGGTGAAGAGTAGACACACACATACAGACATCTCATAGGCTCACAGCTCCAAAACTCTGGCATGTCCCTCCAAGGGGGCCAACTTTCTGTTTGGTGTCACAAATGGATCCCAGAAGGCGTCTCTCCCTTCAAAGAATCTGGGAGCAGACCTATGGGAGGAAGCCAACATGAGCCCCAACATAATGCCACTTTAAAGCCAGAGAAGCCAGACTGAGGAGCATGGTCTTGGCTTGCTCTGGGCTGTCCTCTGGTCTTTGTACATAGCTCATGCCTCTGTAGCCCATATTTCTCTCTTATCTGTTTTTGAAGTAGTTTCTCTGGATCTGAGCATTTGCGTGGAGCCTAGAACCTTCAGGAAGTTGATTCTCGGATCTCTTCTGGGTGGGGAGAAGGGTAGAGCATTTGTAATGTCATCAACAGAGTGATGGTAAGGACTCCTGGGCATCCCATCCTAGCTGTAGGCCATGCTTGCTGACTAGAGGAGACTGGGCTCAGGGGAGCAGGTTTGTTTGGGGGACAATCTGAGCAGATGACACATGATGGCACATGATGGTGGCTGTTGACTTGCCTGTCATCTGTGGCATTGACCCCTATGAGGCCAGCCCTCACAGCAGGGGTTTCTACTCATAAGTTCAGAGCTAAAGAACGACATTGCCTACCCTGATGAGAACCCAGATAGCCTTTGGAGAGGAACACCCTTAACTCTTTCTGGATGCTGGAACACGGGCAGACATGCATTTTGAGGCTTATGCAACGGCTGGCAGAATCCCTCCTTGGCCTGGCATTTACTAATTCAGCTAGATGGGCTGGTCAGTGAGCTGTAGCTATCTTCCCGCCTCCATCTCCCCATTGTGGAGATTAGAAGTACATACCACAATGTATGGGTGTTTTTGTTGTTGTTGTTGTTGTTAGGTGGGTTCTGGAAGTTTGAACTCAAGCTCTTGTCTCTATGCAACAAGTACTTTACTGGGTGAAGGTGAAATTCTCAAAGACAAATGTTCAC